GTGCAGACCTATGATGCTAGGTAATGATTATGAATTTATTGGCCCAATCCCAATATGAAACAAATGAAATAAGAAATTAAGTACAAAATGTTCAAACTGTTTTTGCAAGGTTTGACAGGTGTGTTGCTTAGCCATTTGCCATTTTTAATCTACAACTTAGCATGGGACGTTTTGTCTAAAATAAAACTGTCCAGAAACTCACTTCTTATCCAGCATAATGTTGTTATTTGCTCCTCAGTCTGACGAGTGTTTTCACTCCAAGAAATAGCGAGTTTACAAATGGAAAACTGGTGCGAGGCCGTCACTGTGATGAGATGAAACCAGTAACATTCAATCAACCATGGACAGCTGAAGAACAGGTCTGACAGGTTTTGCAGACTAGTTTTAGGAAAGGGATAGATTTTGATAATTTAATACATGGGAAAAGTGTATTTTGTGAATCGCTTTATTTGCTATGCCATTACATGTAAGTGTCTCAGGTATCACTACTCCCCCCTGGATGGGGTGCTGATTCATCGCTGGTAACCCCAAACATCATATCAGGTTGCTCCCCCAAGAAGTTGCTGTTATCCATTCACATTTTCGGAGGGAGATAGGTTCAGTATTTCTCAAGAACACTACACACACTACACTACCTGTACATGTACAGTATGTCCACTGACCAGAATAATGGATTGCCTAGGCTGAACCTTTTGACCTTTTTGATTTTAAGCTTGGCACTACAGAATACAGTGACTTTAAAGTTTAACCAGATTTGAGGATAGCTGACAAGGCAATATTTTTAATTTTCAGGCTAAATTAGAAAAGCTGTTGCAGATTTACCCTCAGGAAGAAGTGGAAGCCAAGAGGTGGGAGAAAATCGCAGCTGCTCTGGGAAACAGAACTTTCAAACAGGTTCCTTCTTTGTCTTCTTTGATGTACAATAAAATAAGTAGATTAGTTAACTAGTGCTTAATTACCTTAGTGCTTATTTACTCTTGATCAGTGTTTAAAGCCAAATGCCAGTGGGGTCAAGCAATTAAGTGTCAAATTATTCAAATTAAACATAACGAGGTTAAAAACCCTAACTGGCAGTAGCGTTTAACAATAGTAGTCGGGTGTGCTGTGAAACTCCAGTTGGTGGTCAGAACGGGGATTGAACCTGCGACCTCTGGACTTCAAATCCGGCGTCCTAACCACTCTGCCACGCTGCCTCCTATAACCACTCAGCCACGCTACCGCTATAAATGCAACGCTACCGATAGATCGCACGCTCCCAATAGATCTCAGCGAATGAGAAGGAAGGAGGACAAGGGCGAACAACAAACCTTGACAGGGAGCTTAAGCAACGACGACGCCGAGGACAATGCCTAGTCAAAAATGAGTTTATATTTCACCAGCAAAATTCGCAATTGTCTAGATCTTTTCAGTACGCCAATGGCTCTAAAATCGTGCTCAGGCTAAATATGCAATGACAGCGTTCAATTCCACACGGAAACCAAAGATTACTCGTCGTTGTTTGCATTCCTCAAACTGCGCAGAACTTGGTCTTTTCACGTTGTTGGTTTGCAGAGGACGGCAAAGAAATGTACAAAGACTTGTAACGCACGTGCACAGCCATTGTTTTGCTCATTAAAACTTTTGTTTGGTGACTTTCTCCTTGCCTTCGTCGTCGTGGTTTGCTTAAGGTTCTTATATAATATATAAAATAATACATTACTACCTTAATCTCCAACAATTTAGATTGACACACTGTTTTCTATGTCGGTGGCTATTTGACTCTCGTGTATTTGTATAACCTCGTTCACGTTTGTTTAAGAATGCTTCTTGTTCCTCAAGGTTGCCAGTCGTGTCCAGAAATACTTCATCAAATTAGCGAGAGCAGGATTACCTGTTCCGGGACGTATGCCTAATCTACCTCGACCAGGAAACAGGGTGAGTGTGAAAAATGGGTTTTGATAGGGAGGTTGTGGGATACACTGAAGATGAGCTGGACCAGAGGGTTGGAGAAGACGGAAGAATTGTTTTCTGTGATTACCAAGGCTGTGGTCTAAGAAAATTACGAGGAGCCCGAATCCTGGGTGCCCAGCATTGAAGCTTATATGAAAAAAAGTGAGTTTTTCCAGTCGCCCAAAGGCAAAAGTTTGCCGCCTGTGGCACCAGGCGCTTCTAGAGCACAGCCCTGGTGATTACTCAATGAACCACAAGCGGTTAGCGTAGATAGTTTTAATTTTGTGGCCAGAAAATCTGGCAATATAGACAATATATGAGGCTCTGGCTTAGGCGTTTGCTGGTTTAACATTTTCATCGATAGAGAAGTGCCGTTTTGAGTGCTTGAAAGATTTTCTTATCCAGTGCGAAAAGTTATATTTTTTAAGCAATGTTTTGAAATCTTTCAGAGCAAAAGGTCGTCCCATTACTACCAAACTCTTGGTTTTCGTAATTCCACGTTCTTTCCTTCGTATCAACCTAAAGTGCTGATGGACGAAGAGGATGACATCTCAAGTGTAGCTACGGATGACACAGCTGGATATCTGTCGGTAAGATGACAGGTTCAATTTGAGTTGTTATTTTAGGAATGAGCAATTTAAGCGTTTTACTGTGTGAAACAAAAGTCGTTTTCCTCAAATCCTCCTGAACCTAGTGAAACGCGAAAAGTTCCCGAATAAGTTGTTTGACTCGAGCACTTTGAGAATTGTCACGTCGGCAGTGTCAGTAACTAAATTTTGACAACACTCGCCATTTGGGCGAGTGACTCTCAGAATGCACTCACCCGGTGTAATTTTCAATCGCCCAGAAAGATGCCTCCCCTCCCCTTAAAAAGCCTTCCCAACGCCTTCGGATTCATACTACGTTTTTTCAGTATCTCGTAAATCAAGGACGCCCAGCTTGCCATTTTGTGTTGAACTTTCTTGTTCTGGTCCAGTACGAGACGCCTCCCGAGGATCGCGGATCTATTTTCCGGTAATTGTGAAGAAGAGCTCCCGAAACCGACAGGTTAGCACAAGTTACTGACAGTTCTAAAATAGAATGTTTGCTGTAGAATAGACAGGAATAGAGTGATAAACCCGATCAACAAAACGGTTTCAAAAACCCGTAAACAAATAGTAATACATCTCGACAGGCCGACAGACGGCCGACAGGTTTTTTTACGGAGCTTTTCTTCACGGTTACCGAGACGCTTCTCGAGAGAAACGAGACGAGAGGTGATAACTTACCTTTGGGCGGTAGTGCATGTGTTGTGTTTGTTATCTGTAGGATGAGGAATCTGTGCCTGTTGATCTGCGGCATACGGAGGAATACAGAGAGCTTCTGGAACTCAAAAGACTTAAAAGACAAAAGATTGCGGATTTTCAGGTATGTGACCATAAAAACCACACTAAGGTGTTATAGGCAAGGAAAGTTACAAGGTGGGTGTGTTGCAACACGCAGCCTGTGATTGAAATAAACAGAAAGATTGGAACAAGCGAGCGAGCTCGCTTCATAGTTACAACTTGTCTATACCTGATGCCTAACAACAAAGCAAAAAGTCTGTCCACGCTGATTGCGATCAAAGTTGCAAGTGAAAAACTTGTTAACATCATGCCGAGGGAATACCACAGAATCTCACTAACCCGGCAGAGTCTCCAGCGATGGTTGACGGCCGCCAAAAGAGAAACAACTACCACTGGTTGCACAACAAGTCCAACGCAAAGGTCTGATATTGCCAAGCATCGAAGAAATAGTTTAGAAGGAGGATTAAGAGTGGATTTCTTGTGGAGAGCAACGAGAATCAACGCATTGCCGAGAGTTGCTGTTATGGATAATGCAACATTTATACCAGATATCACCAAGAATATAGTGGAAAGCTGCGAAGAGTTGCGATGGATGGCCCAGTTTGCGTTACAAAGAAAGCCAGCTTGAAGTGAGTAATTCATGCCCTGCCTTCCCAACAAAACTTTCTTCTGTCCTCGTAAATGAAAAAGCTTGTTAAGTTTAGAATCTGATTGCTCTAAAGGAAAACGTGCAAAGCCTCACATTAGTGAAGCTTTAATTTCTGATTTGAAGCTGAAGAAAACACAGCTGTCGATATTCTATATGAATTGTGTAAACACATCTGTTGTTTCGCATCTAATAAACTCTAAAGGCGAAATGATTCCAATCTTTCCAATCCTCTACCACGCAGTATTTGATTACTCTCTCTCTTTGCTGTATTGTCAAAGTAAAATAATATCTGCTTTCATGATCCAAGTACCTGTTCCCTTAGGAAAATATACGTATTTCATACAGCTTTTAATGGCCTTCGGCCTTTAAACTCATTTCCTTGTAAAGTGACGGCAACCTATATATTTCCTGTTCTTTAATGTTTTGCTAATAGAATGGCCCCTGGGCTCCAGTTAAAAAAGTTATGAGCTCAGCATAAGCTGAACAAAACTGACCTTAAACGACGTTGTCCCGTGAATAGAAAATCCTCGAGTTTGGTTTAAGTGAGTCATGGGTTTTTCAAGATATCACACACGCATTTATGGCTTTAATGGTCGCTCCTAAAAATAATTTGGTAATCGCCTGATTCCAAAAACAACATCTATTAAAATTTGTCGGAAGCGAGATTAACATCTCATTTAGGAAATTAAGACAATTCATTTATTCAAGGAAAAGAAATGAAATAAAACACAGCTGGCTATGTTTGCTTTTAAAAAATAATACTCTTTTTGCTTTCTCATCTTCGGTATTAATTTGAATTTCGTTATTGGCTCAACCAAATTTACTATCACAGATTAAGTTTTTACGGAACTGAAATCATTCAGAGGATAAACAGGTGCTATGTTATGAACTCAAAGGAAGCAGTGAAGTGCTTTATTGAATTACCAAGTTTTTTTTTTATGAGTCATTTTTGTAAAATTACTTTCAGCTTGAGTACAAATGTCAACTCACTTCGAGCAAAATAATTTTTTTGGTGGGGGGAGGGGGTATTTTTGCTTTTGATTGTTATTTGTGTATTTTTACTTCTGAAGACGACTAATAAGTTAGGAAAAGATTAGGACTACAAATTATCACTAAAAAATCCGGGAGTCTTAACGTGGTCCCTAATGTCTTCAGCACTTTTCTTCGTACTAACACTGGGAAGCAAATCTCCTATCAGGCACAGATCCCTGGCATGAGATTCTTCATTAGCTGGGAGAAGTCAGTATATTTTGCTTTGCCAAAGAAGTAAAAGAGTTACTGTTAGAAAAATACTCTACACAACATCATTATTCATTATTTCCCGAGTCTGCTTCTTTTCCTTGCTGCTCTCTCTCTTATCAAAATATACCTATTTGGCTCTAAAAGATCTAACCCGAAAACCTTTTGGTTCCTGGACTTCTAGGCTTCAAATAACTTGTTGTTATTGTTATTGTTGATAAATGGCGGGATGTAGAATGGGTCTTATCTCGTCAAGCCATTTTTAAAGTTGTCGCGGAGGAGACCTTGGAGACGAAACTGCCGACGACTGTAAAGATTTCGGCTCAATTTTCCATCATGCACAAAATCTGACCACGCTTTTTCATGCCACTTTATTCTTCAGTCTCCTAATAACTTACTGAAGCCGAGATTCCTGAGTGTTTCCTTTACTGCATGTCTCACTTCCCTGATTTTCCAACAGTACAGCAAGGGGTTTAGGGAGGAATTTAAATAAACCAGTGTAATTCCAAACAAGAAGATGATTACTAGAGATCCTGCTATTTCAGATAAAATTGCCCTAGCGATCAAAACCAAGACAAACGGAAGGTAGCAAATCACCAGAGTAGCAAAAACCCACAAAGCAGTGGACACTGTCTTTCTGTATCGCGACAAGTTTAACTGTGAAATTCCATTCGGCTCACTTTGCGGGATAACTTGAACTTGAATGTGATTTCGAAGAACAAAAAAGATTCGCGCATAACAGTATATCGACGTTATTAG